GCAGAAGAACAGCCCAGCCAATCCCAACCCCCGGAATCATGGCAAATAATAAGTGACCATCTCAAGTCCAAAGTTTCCCAAACCTAAGTAAGCCTAGGTGTGGTTTGTTACCCCATAGTCCATCATTGAGATGGCACATCTAGAGAACAAATCACTGACGTGCGCAGGCCATGATGCCCTTGCTGTAGAAGGAAATTCTTTACTTATCCCCCTACCCCAACCCCATCCCTGATACCTTCCTCCTCTTGTAATTTAACCAAAACAGAACCCAACTCTGTGCCACCTGCACTTGGCCAGTGCCCACCTTGGCTAGTGTCACTTCCTCACCTTTCAGATGGTCTCTGTGCCTCCAGGTTCTTTTCCATCCCGTCCACTCTACAGACCAGCGAACTGCAGCCCACAGGCCAAATCTGACCCACCACCTGTTTTTGTAAGGCCCAAAACCTAAGAATACTTTTTACATTTTTCAATGTCAAAAAAAAAATTAGAAGGAAAATAATATCTCGTGACATGTGAAAATTACATTGAATTCAAATTTCAGGGTCCATAAATGAAGTTGCATTAGAAAACGTTTATTTATGGATTGTCCGTGGCTGCTGGATGCTACAACAGCCGAGCGGAGCAGCTGTGATGGAAACCACATGGCCCATGAAGCCTAAACTATTTACTATCTGTCCCTTTACAGAAAAAGTTTGCTGGCCCCTGCTGCAGGATGCCATCAGACTAACCTTTAAACATCATTTTTTATTTTTAAAGAATTTTTTGTTGCAGTTTATTTTTTAATTAATGTTTTAATCAGTTTGGGGGCAGTAATTAGGTTTATTTATTTATTTTTAATGGAGATACTGGGGATTGAACCCAGGGCCTTGTGCTTGCTAAGCATGCGCTCTACCGCTGAGCTACATACTTCTCCACTTTAACATCTTTTTTTATTGTATTCACTCCACAACCTTTGAAGATTTCTATCTCCTCCCTCTAAGGGATGCAGCTTTGTCGGTCTGACTTCCTGGTCCTTAGTTAGACCCCAGCAGTTTGTGACCTAAATTTGCATTCTATGACACGCTGTCAGGTTCTCTCCCTTCTGGGCCAATTGGTCTGTAAGCTGCCCTGAGAATCTGGTTTGTTGTTCTTGCCCAGAGAGCTCTGTTTACCTGCTGCAATCTCCACCCTCCCCATCCTTCACTCCCCTCAGGGCCCCCAGCTCCCCAACCAAGAATGCTTTCCTAACTGCTTTGCCATATATTTCCCTGGGCATATTCTATGGAACATCAAGCTCAAGAGATTTTTTCCTCTGGAAAAAGGAAACACTGCAGATGCTACCCTCTCTTGGAGTCACAATGTACATATATGGCATATTAAAGGCTCTGAGAAGCCCTGCAGTCAAGATGCGTATTTCTTTTCCTTAACTCAACCCTTCCCAAGTGGGTTAACCATGGAATTTATTCCGTCTACAGAATACTTGTTGACCACCAGCATCTAGTACAGTGCCTGGATTTCAGCACTTGTTGAAAGAATGAATACTGCTAACATTCCACAGAACTAGGGTTCCATAGAACAGACTTTAGGAAATGTTGCTCAAGCTCCTCCTTCTCTGCCTCCAGTCTGAGCTGTTCCCTTCCATGGCACCCTCTCCACAGCATGTGATGCTAATCGTCCCCATCAAAGAGCTATCATTTATTCAGCACCTGCAGGCACTGTGCTACCCACAGTGCCAGACCCTTAAAAATGTCATCTCTTTTCATCCTCACAATCCCCTCTGAGGTAGGTCACGTTCTTCTTTCATTGCCCTTCTGCCAAAAATGAAACCATGGGTCAGGCAATTTGAATCACGAGGCCAAGATAAAGTAGAAAAGCCAGACTGTAAAACTACATTGGTCTAACTCCACAGCTCACGACCTTTCGTCTCTGTCAAAGTACCTCCCGATAACATACTGTGGCCCACATTGCCGGCTGTCCACCCAGCATCCCTTCATGCCTTCTTCCATGCCAGCAGAACCCTGATTTTGTATGCAGGGACAACAGGTCAAACCAGACAATGGATCATGATCATCTAAACCAATCACAATGGTGTTCCCACACCCACCTTGCCCGGCAGTTTGGACAAGCCATCTGACCCAGTTCTGACCAAGAAAACATAATGAAACGTCATCTGGAGGGTAGGGAGGAGGAAGTGTCCTGGGGAAACCAAACAATATTCACCCTTTATTCCTCCCCACTCACCTGGTCCTCCTCCTCCCTGCCTTGAACCCGGGTGGAATGGCTAGAGCTTCAGGAGCCATTTTGCAACCATTAGGAAGAGGCCATGAGAGCAGCGCTGATATTATTACCTTGCTGAGCCAACTCAAGCAGCTACATACCTCTGGACTTCTTGCTACTTGAGAAAAAGAAATTATTTGCTTAACCATGGCTGGTTGGATTTTTTATTTCACGCAGCTGAACACATTCCTAATGGGCCCACATGCCGTCTCCCATATTACTTCTATTTGGACTTTCTCATCATTTCACGTATACTAAGCTATTAGCCTTGTCTCTCTAACCATGAAGTGCGTTTCTTGGAGGCTAAGTCCATGTCGTACATTTTTGTTTCTACAGGGGTATGGGCATGTTACTAAATTCTGCTTATGATCAAGGTTTTCAGGGATGGTCTGTTCAATTGACTACTTTCCTCAGTGCTTGTGAGCAGAGAATTGTCACCATCAAATCGCTGAAATATGGCATCTATCTCCTAATAGATTAGCCTTTCTCAGAGTGTCAGTATGAAAACATGCATCAGGGACATCTGGACTGTTTACTAAACACAGATTCCTAGACCCCCTCCAATCTCAACTGAATTAGCATCTCTGGGGATAGAGGCTGAAAATATGCATCTTTAGTAAGCTCCCCCAGGTGATTTTGATACACAAAATTTGACAAATTTCTGAGATTAAAAAAAAAACAACTGTGGCTCCAAAGCCTGCGTGAGGTTTGGCAGGACATGGTTGGACCCCAAGGGACCAGCCCCTCTTTAGTGGCCCCACCCTAGCCCTAGAGACGGGGGGAGAGGAGCCTAAATTGGCGTAATTGCTCCAGACCCTTCCCCAGGCAATATGGATACAGTGGTCCGCAAGCTCCATTTAATAGATGCATTCCCAACAACTGTCACCTCCCACCATACCAATGCCTCCATCCACCAGTTTCAAAAGAAAACCACTATGCAGCAAAGTAGCAATGGAACCAGTGGCCCACTGCAACAATCACTGTGGTCCAGGGAGCTCCCAGAGGATGAAGCATGGTGGAAAGAGGAAACGAAAACTGAAGAAATTCACATAGTAATACACAAAGTAGCATTTGGGGTTCCTGACTCAGAGGAACAGAAGAGGCCTCCGGTGGCCCTTTGGGGTTATTTATTTATTTACAGCATGCAATTCTAACCAGAATCTTCTCTGGGGCACGGCTCAGACAGAGACGGAAAGCTGGGCCAGAGCATCCCACACTTTTTCTTCCATCAGCAGAGTCCGAGCCTAGACTGCTCTCCAAAGCTCCGAGAAAGCAAAGACCTGTGCCTCCCAACAGAATTCCCACTCCTCTGCTACCCCTTGATGCTTATTTCATTTCTTAAGATCATTTTCCCAGATGACATGGGCACACAGATGCATTCTAGGGGAGCAAATAGCATATTCGACACACTCACATTAACTCCACTTTCAAACTGATGACCTTCCTGCCTGCTGACATCCAGTCAAACTGAAAACCACGGAGAGAAAAGGAAAACCTGAACGTGAATCAGAGAGAGGTGCTCCTTCAGACTAGAACAGGGCACAAGGGCTAAAAGATTCCGAAGGGACTGACGAGTTCAGGCCTTGGAAACACATGGGCTGGAAACTGAGTGGCCCCCCCAGCACCGCACATGCCCGCTCCAGCCCAGGGAGAATCACTTTTCTCTGCTCACAGCCCCACGGCCACCACCCTGAGTGAATGCCAGCTGATGGGAGTTCCCAAATTTAATCAAGCCATGTGTACAACCAGTTTGAGGGAGGGATGTGAGTCGAACCTTTCAGATGTTTCAAGCAACGTGGATGCCAGGCATTTTCTAAGCTCCTGAAACCCTTCCTCCTTTGACCAGATGGCCTTCAGAAGAAATAATTTCTGCCATCTTCCTTCAGAGTAACTTTGCATCCATCCCACCCCCCCCACTCATACACACACAAAATTGCTTCAAACTCCCCCTCAAGTTCTGTTGGAGAGCATGTTACAACATGCCAAAGATAACTCCTCCTCCCGACCCCTTTTTTTCCACAGTCCCACCAAGATTCCAGAGTATTTTCCCACACCACCTGTGTGTGCTTCTCCACGCTTTTTTTTTTCTTTTACATGTTTTAGGCCTGCAACAGCTCCCTGCATCAAATTGATTTGATTGGAAATGGGTAGCTCAATGAGGAATTTTTTATCTATGTATCTCGCCTCCTGAAATATGTATCACTGAAAACAAACAAACAAACAAACAAACCAAATCCAAGGAGCAAAAGCGGGACTGGGAAGGAGGCCAAGAGAAGATCTTGGTCTATATTTTTAGGCAGCTCCGTTCTGCGAGCAAAAACCACCTTTTGACCACCTGCAGAATGCGCAAGGTCACGTGGCTTTTCTGCAGCGCCTTAATGTCTTACCCAGCACACAAGCCCCCGTGGCATATAAACAAATCCACAAGCAGAAAAAAGAGAGAACTCACTCCTCAGAGAGGAAGCAAATGATAACAGCCGCAAGAATAATAATAATAATACAGAATAACAATTACTACTACTACTACACCACCCAGCCAAGCGCAGACCACGGCAGTACAGTAAAGAGACATCCAGTGCAGGCTGTGCAAGATAAATCACAGAAGACCACATCGTGCCCACCTGGCTACCCTCCCACTCCCCTCACCGCGCCCACCCCCAACAAACAGAATCAAGGGAAAGGGGATGGTGAGGGAGAAAGGGGAGGGAAGGAAGGATTGCTTTTTTTCCATAGGCAACACCTACCTCCAGCGTCCGGATTTCTTTTTGTGTGAGGTCGTTGGAGGTAGCACATTTGGTCCTAAGCCCTTCCAGGTTGGAGATGCTCAGGTCTATCATGTTTTGGACCAACTCGCACTGCTGTAAGGCTTTTTGCAAACTCAGAGGTTGCTGCTCCTCGCTTTTCGTCATGTTTTCCTCATCCATCGCTTGCTCTGCAAACCCCCTTCCCCTCCTCCTCCTCCCAGAGAGAAAAAAGGGGGGTGTCGGGGGAGTGGAGGTAGTCTACCCCCTACGCCTCTCCAACCACTGCGACTTCTCAACAATGTCTCATGAAGAAGAAACCGAACATCTCACACAGGGTTGAGGGGGTGGGGGTGGGAGGAGGGGACAAGAGCCAAAATTTATTATTTTATTTTGGGGTATCAAGCAGACTCCATTAGAACGTCTCCTCTCTCTGAGTCTCTGATCCCTGAAAAGGAGAGATTGCTGTTTCTCAGAAGCAAGCCAGGTGATGTGATGCTGTCTGTACACTTAGGGAGGAGGAGGAGGAGGAAAAAGAGGAGGAAGAGGGGGAGGGAGAGGAGGAGGAGAAGGAAAATAGCGCTCACTCTTTACACACCGGCTCCGTGAAGGACAAAATTATATATTTTTGGCTGGCTGGCTTTTATGTCAAAAAAAATCTGGTTTGCCCCCCTCCCAGTTGCAGTGACACGGCATTGTCCACCGTTTGGGGTGCTTTAGCGCGTTCTCAAGATGCTGTCTGCATTGCTCCCGCGGCTGCGGCGGCGACTGCGGCTGGCTGCTGTCTCGTCCTCGCGCTGCTGCTGCTGCTGCTGTCGCCGCCGGGCTCCGGGGGTGACGGCTGCTGCATTCGCTCCTG